TGTAGATGCAGTTTTGAGAATTAATAAATCCGATCTCTTAAGAAACAGTTATTTCACAATCACTTTAATAATGCTGTTGTTAGAATGTAAATAAATGAAGTGTGAAGAATCGTATCAGTGTTACGGGATAATCAAGTACCAGTTTCAGGGAACAAGAATGGAAGTTTTGTAAGAACGAGGTAAACAGAAACCAGCTTAGACAGAGAACTTTCTGTGGTGTGCCTTTGGCAACAGAAGCAGGAAAAGTACCTCAGAAAGCTCTGCGAAATACTGTCAGAGCAGAAGGGTGAAAATGCTGGCTTCCCTGAGGAACCAAAGCCTTAGGTAATTGGGGGGAACTAAAGAATAATTCATTCTGTTAGCTCATCTTTTTTGAACTGATTTCAGTGTTGCAGACTCTTTCCTCCCTGATAAAATGAATTGGTTGGTCTTTTGTTAAACCTGATCTAGAAGTTCAGGACTCTTAGGCAGCAGAAACTGATGTAAGTCTGCCATGCAATCAGTCTCTCCCTTGATCCAACAGTGCTGTAGCATCCACTTGGAAAATACCAAATACATCAGCCAGACTCTACTGAGGGACTCTATCAGAGTTTTTCCCAGTTTGAAGTCCCTGGATGGTCCCCGTGCAATTGCAGTTGATGGTGGAGAAGCACAACAGAGGCAAGAACTGGGATTTATGCCATCTGGATCCAGGTCAGCCTGGATTTAAGCTGGGTTTGGTTAAGCCTGCATCCTTTGTGTGAGCTGAGAAATGCAGACCAACATAAGAGAAGCAGCCAAACTCTGGGTGCCCTTTTCATTGTGGGTTGAAGGGTGTATAGGCTTTTGACCTGAGATGGGGTCAGCCTCTTCTGATAGGCAGTATGTAGTTTTACTTCGGCTAGCAAGGGACAAAGTGGCCCTTGACTCAGGAAAACCACCCTTCTTTCAGGACACTGCTTATATATGTATTCAGTTCAGATGGGAAGGAGGGAGTACATTTTTTCCACTCAACTTGTCTGATACCCAGTGTATGGTGATAGACATCAAAACCAAGGTGTCAGCCACATGTAAAGCATGAATATTAAATAAACACCTGTCATGGAAATGTTTCAGAAAGTGTTGTTGTATATGCTGCTGTTCCAGTATTAACTAATTTAAAAGAAATAACAGACATCCAGAAGCTCAGTTTATTATGGCAGTTTTCTTCAATATTGAAAAGCAAGAGGACAAGTGACTGTTATTGAGTGAGAGAAGTACAGTACCTTGCTCTTAGGTTGCTCTAAGGGATCCTATGGGCCCAGATTTCTTCCATCCTAGTTTTGGCATCCTCCACTGCTGCTGTGCCTGGTGAGCTAAAGACCTACTTCCCATAGGTTTGACTGGGCTGTCATAACTTACGTTTTTCCTTTGTCTCCTCTTCCTAGATCAAGTAAGTCAAGTAAAGGAGCTATTTGAGTGGTTACTATGATGGATATTTTTCACTACCACAAGTAATGAAAGTGCTGAGGGTTTGTGTTGTCTGCTAGGGAGGCTGGAGGAAGAGCAGCAGTGTGGCCAGATAAGATGGCACGACCAGTTCTCACAGTCTACAATTACAGCCCGGTGTTTGTTTTAAAATAATAATCTTGCTTCAGATTGGAAAACCTTTTTTTTTAATCTAATGTGGTGTCATTTTAGTACTATCAAATCTTTGTGATTGCCAAAATAGGGCAGAAAAATGGTCCTGGGAGGTTTCCATGCAGATAATCTGTCTTAAAGTATAAACATGCTAAGTAAAAAGCCATGATTTTTGAACTGAAAGCCTTATTTCTATCTTTGTGTGAGTAACTAGTGCATGAAAATGCTGTCACTTACAGGAAGATGTATGATATGGATACTTAAATCTGTTTTACTGGTACCTGTGTGGGCTTTCCACACTGCTGTCTGTGGGATTTGTTTTACATGATGGGGCTTTGAGCAACCTGGTCTTGGGGAAGATGTACCCGCATGTGACAGGGGGGTTGGATCAGGAGGGTCCTTTCAAGCCCAACTGTTCTATGGTTCTGTAGCTCAGCCTGGTTTGAATGTCACCAAGCTGCTCAGTAACAAGAGGACCTGTGCGAGGCCCATCCAGCTCCCTCAACTTTTGCACAGGGTATGAAGACTTTTTCTCAAAGATCGGGGCAAGCAGCTTATCCAAGCTCTGAGGCATGCACCTGGAAGTGTGACATTTGTCTGTTTGCTGCTCGGTCCCAGGCTACTTGCTTTTATTTTGGAAATAGACCTTTCCCTGTGTTTATGTTTGCTTTGAGAGCTAACTGGTGATGCCATCTCTGACAGCGAGAGCTGATCTGTGCAGAGCGCTCTCCCAGGAAGGAAGGTGTCATGGAATAGCCTAATAATAAAACTATTCACCTGCCAGTACACATGAAAACCTATGAGTATCTGTTAAGACTGTCCTCTTTTAGAGTAATGACACTAGAGAAGGCTGAAGCATGGGATTTTTGTAGTAAGTTGTTATGAGTCCTCAGAAGTCAACTAACTTTCACTAGTAATTGTGCTCACATAGGCATGATTTCCTTCTAACAACAGGCCAAAGATCTTCTGCAACAGCAGGAATTCTATTAATATTTCATGAGTAGCTTAAGTTAGAATTTGCAGGATTAAAAAGAGGAAACTGGGTCAAATGCACGTGGTGCAAGCATCTCAGTTCTTTAATGCTAGATTCATATGTGTTGTATTTGAAAGCTGAAGAAGCAGGGTTTTTTGTGGTGGTTTTTGTTGGTGTGATGTGTTTTCTTCATTTGACTATTTTATGGAAAAAATATTTTTCCCTTTGGAATTTTGTGGGCCAAATCCCAGGAGACTCATGGAGTTTCACAGTGTGTCCAGCCACTTCAGGAATTGCTTTTCCAACAAGCCCAGAACATTTCTGCACAAAGACTGCATGGGTGCTTTCCAAGGTATATTACTGGGTTTGAAGAATCAGAGTGAGGATGGCAACTGCTGTATCCTCACAGCTGAAGTTTAAGCGAGTTCTCAGTGCCTGCAGCTCTTGCAGTAGAGCTTTTGAGGTCCTGCTGGAGCATAAACCAGCAAAGATGAAAACAATGGGCCCTGGAGGGGGCTTGGAAGAGCTGAGGGGACCTCTGGGGCCAGTACCAGCCCACAGCACCACAGACCCCAGCCCCACATGCCCCTTCCCAGGGACCCCTGTGCTCATGGTGACAAGGCACTCCATAATCAGGGCTGCCATGGGCTTGTTAAGAAGTATGTGTAATTCATACTCCCCAAAATGTTAGAGCCATTCTGAGAGCAGATATAATTCCCTGAGGTGCACACAGGGCTTTTCATGGAGCACCACAGCACAGCTTCTGCAAAGTTTCCTGAAGCTGAACATACCACACTGAGCATATGTGCTATTCCACTGTAACAGCATGCAGCTGATGGACATACAGAGCCACTGCCAGCACTCAGATAAATGAAGTAATAACCTGAAGTTCAGACTAAAGGAAAGGAAGGTTTCTTAGTCCACTGTTCTTTTCTAAAGATTGGTTGCACAGGATAGATGGAGAATGTAGTGAGGACATCATGCTGTTGTTGCAGTGGTCTTACAAACTGAACTAATGAAATGCAAGAGAAACCATCCTAATGACCATGTTTTTTCAAATCTCTCTGACACCTGTAGGTGTGTTAGTGGCTCCCTTGCTTAGCTTCAGTTCTGTTTTAGTTCTAACTCTCTTTGGCATTGTGTGCAGCAATACTAGGCTTCATTTTGATTCAAGTGATGATGATACAGAAGATGGAAAAATAACCAATGTATTACAAGCCTCTTTGGAGCTTATATAGTCAATATGACTGTTCTCAGTGTTTTCACACACGCATTTTTATTGTCATATCACAATTATCCTTAATGGTTGATATCTTTTTTCTTCATATTTTCAACCACTCAGGCTTTGGTGTAAAAACTACATGAATGGCCAAGCTATAACAAGGCTCTTAATGGTCTTTGTGGCTTTTTAAAATATGTGTGGAAATAAAAAGTGTATTAATGTAATTGTTTGCTCAGCATTGTTGTGGTAAAAGGCATTTCTAAGTTTATTATTGTTGGGGTTTTTGGTGTTTTTTTTTTTCTTACACAAAAATACACTGGTGCAAGGTGGACTGTCTGGTATCTTTGTTAGTGCAAGTGCTGAGCACTCAGTGCAACAGGAGCTTGGCGAGGGTAACCCATCTAAGGAGTCTCACTGGTCCTGGTTGGTGTCTCTGTGCTAGTCTAGTCTTCCTCTCTGCAGCTGCCTTTGGAAGCCATCATCTGTCCTGTAGTTTGTCCCATGAAGGGTTTTAGGTATTTTAAGCAAACTAAGAAATACAGTGGTTGAACCTACATGATTATTACCCTCCTCCCTTTGTGCTGGCTCAAATTCAGTGCTGACATTGCATTGTGTTAAAGGACCTGAACTAACTACTAGGATTTGTTTTCCTCCTCCCTCAGAAATATCGTCAGTGAATAGTAACATGCAAATACAAAACATAAAGCCAAAGAAATGGATTTCTTTCTGGTTCCTTTAGGTTTTGTCCTGTTAATTCCATGGCAGATGTTTGCTTTCTAAGGCTGTGTCTACACTGGATGCTAAAATATCGCTTTTAAGAAGGGCAGTATTATTAATGACAAAGAGCAAAGTCCTGAGGACAAGTGGGCCCTGTTTCTGGGTTTCTTTAACTGGAATTGGATTGCTTTAGCTACAGCTTTTATGACTGTCTGGCTTCTATCTCAGCTTTTTATCATAACATTGGGGGTTTTACAGAAATTAAATCACTACTCATTCACTACTCATGAAGTTATTTCAAACAAGGTTTTGCTCAGTAAAGATCAAGTTTGGTTTCTGTTATTAAATGTTGAATACTGCCCCTTCAGTAGGAGGAATTTCAACTTCTAATGGAAATTAATTCTGGTTTTATTTGGAATGGAATTATTGTAGTTTTGGTTGGTTGCGGAGTTCTTTATCATATTGTCTTGTTCTTTTCCCACTGTTCAGCTGTGAGGTCCGGCTGGCTGCCCCCACCACCACCTGCACTGCCCCCTCGACCTTCTGTATCTCAGGTATGGACAAAGCTTTAGCCCTTTGCTCTGTATTATTTGCTTATTTATGTTGCCATTGCAGTGATTAACACTAATTGGCTTGGACACAGCAGTTGTCCTTGCTTCCAAGTTCATGCAAAACTTCAGTTTGCTCTGTGGTTCCATGTCCTCCTCCACTGGTCTGTGTACTTGATATGTTGCAGCATCAAATTACAGACTAATTAAATCTCCTTGTAGTGGAGCTGACATGCACCTACTAGACCTAACTGTAAATTAAAGGCTAGCAAGGCTAGTCTACTAAAAAGTTTCATTTGTGAAGGCATGGGTTTGATATGTGTTATTTGCTTCTCAAGCTTCAAATGCTCAGAGGATATCTGCTAAGGGAACCATGGCACGTTAAGAGTATATTTCAGCCATAGGTTAAAAAAAAATAATGCTAAAAGGAAACAAATGTAATGTCACTGAAGTTTCAAAACATTAGTGATTTGCTTTTATGGCAAGTTTTTGGGTTTTGGTTTTTTAGAGCACTACCCAACCACAGCACAACACACATTGACAAAATCATGCATGTCTGCATCTAGATACTTCATGTTTTAGGAAATGATGGAGGATCAGCATCTTGTTCTTTTTATATTGTTGACTGTGTTAAGTCTTAGGCAGCAGTATGCTTCATATATTAGTCCTTTAGGTGAAGTGTATAATAGACAACAAATCCACAAGGGAGTTGACAGCCCATTACGTATAAAAAACTGGTGAGACACCTTCCTTGGGCCAGAAATGGTCATCACTTGAGTTTTGGATCTACTCTTAAGAGTGTATGTTGAGCACCTCCTACTGCACAGCGCTTGTGATAGAAATAATTAAAAACTTGTTGCCACCCCTAGCTCCACCAGCAGCTTGTTTCTCTCTTCCTCTCCCCAGCCCTTCTTAACACCCTAGTGCAGTTACTTTCTGCCTCAAGGACTGTGGAGCATCCTGGTTGAGCTTGCATGCTTTCTCCCCATCTCCTGCTTTGTCTAGCACATCCTGGAGAGCAGTGTTTCCCTCTGGCTTCCCCTGATCTAGGCAGAACAGCTCCCTGCCTCCCAGTTGTACGCTTGCAGCAGCTGCTGCTGGAACCCAGTCTCCTACCACTGCTCCAGCTTCCCACAACAGTGGCTCTGTGCAGTGCAGGCCCTCCTACTATCATTGGGAAATGCAATAAATAACAACAAATCCTGCTCTTAGACAAAAAAACATTGGTTTCAAGTAAGGTTCTGTTAATTGTTCATTTTCTTGTCCTGTGATCGGTTTGTGTTTCCTTAGTGGGAGAGTGAGAACTTAATTTATTTATGCATGTCCAGCGTCTTCCTTAGGAAAAACTGCTCATCCTGCACTGGGCCTTGCAGAGTGTAGGACCTTTCTAAAATAGTAAACATAAGAAGATCCTCCTGTGAAATTCTTGATCCAGTCCCCTCCAATACAAAATTCTGATTTCTCAAAGGGAAAAAAAAGAGTTGCTTCTGTGTCTGCTCAGTAATGAATATGCAACTGATGCTTTACTAACATGTGTCACTTATATTTACCTAATTTATTTCTGATTATATTTAAAAATATTAAATATCTCATCAAAATACTATTGTTTTGATGTCTGTCAAAAAGGTACATAAAACCAATTCTTGAAAATATAATAAACTTCACACTCATCACATTTTTTATTTTATCTCTAAATGTGCCTTTCTGTGATAGAGGTAACCGACAGTAGGAGACTATGCATGATGGGGGTCATAATTCAGCTGAGCTGACCCTTGCAAATAGCATGTAAGGAATAGTAAGCATATGGATTACATTAGTCCAGAGAGGCTGTTTGTTTAAAGAGCATGAAGATGTTGGAGGAAGGGATCTGCTTTCAAAGCTGAGACAGGATCAAAAACTGAAGAAAAGCCATGATGCTGAAATTGCACATTCAGCTTTTTCTTGTTTCAAGATTTACCAAATTCTTCTTAAATTTCTGCTTTAACTTATTTTTCAACAATGCTATTGAAAATCCTTTTTTATTATCATAACATTTTGGTATATGCCTGCAGTTAAGCACTGTGAATAACAAATATAGCTTGGAAATGAAGCGAACCCTGCATATTTCAGGTGACCATGCACCTTATAAGTATGCTTGTGGTGTGATTATTTTGGCTCAGCTTTGGAAATCAGTTGATGGAGGGGAAATAATTTCTTTCTGAGGGCTACAATTTTCTATGGATGGCTGAGAAGCCTGAACCAGCTGCCTCTTCAGAGTGAGAGTAAAGGGCTCGTGGGATGTAAAGACCAAAGCGCATGAAAGAGAGGTACCAAGGAGCAGGTGTTGCATTTCAGTGGAACAGAAGTCCTGCTTTGAGCTTAATCAATGGCAATATAGAAATGGCATCTTGACTTTGGTCCTATGCTGCTGGTTTTTTTAGTAGAATTTACTTCAGCCTTTAGGAAAACATTATTTTTCCTGTCAGAACCTCCAAGGTAATCAACCTTGGTGAGTTACTGAATCGCTGGTTGTTCAGAGCGTGCCAACATCTCTAGTCATATCACAAACTTATTAAATTACCTCCACATTCAACTCTGCTTCCATAGTGCAGTCAGCTGAATAATGAGGGAAAAGGATTGTATTTCTGGATGAGCCTAGCACAAGGTAATACTTAGAGCTAATGTTGCTGTGGTCTTGACTCCACAGCTCAGGGGATTCACAGGCTTACTGTGAGAGGCTCGAGTTGTGGGATGCTGTGAGGACTTGGCCAGTTTATGGGGAAATAGCAGCAGGGCTGCCTCTGCTCTGGGCAGCTGCTGCTACCAGCCCATGCTGTTCCACACCACAGGTGGGCAGACACCTTTAGAGGTGGTGGCTGCATCTATTTTTACTTCTACAACAGCTTTTAGAGTTGGTGGATTTAACTCTCTGTTTCTTTCTTCTTGATGGCCTCTAAAAGCCCATGGCAGCTCCTTCTCCTCGGAATGTTTCTCCATTGCCAAAGTCAGCATTTTACCAACTTTGTCTCAGTCTGTGAACTCTACTTAAGTTTTCCTCAGAGCTTTCACCGGATGTTCCTCTGATGCAGTGGTGCTTTTATCTGAGGTCCCTCTGGTGACTATAAATAAAGATGAACAGAAGGCAAGTTTAAATAATGTGGATACACCATTATCTCCAATTTATGATCTTTTGACCCATATTTCAACCCCTACCTCTCTGCACTACAAGCCATTTTGAATTGATGTTTCCAGTAAGACATTTTGAGTTATAGTATGAAGTGTTTTATTAGAATCATCAATTCATATTGCTTTCCAATTAAAAAAAGAAAGAAATTCAGATTTTACCTCATTTCTGTAAAGAGGGCTTGGAAAGATTATGTATAGAAACAGGCTTATACAAAGGCTAGGGTTGTTGGGTTTTTTTTGATAAGATGTTATTTTGAAGTGTTTTACTTTTGTGTATAAGCCTATGTGTATCTTCACTGGCACCCTCTTCATCCCTAGTAGCACTTGTCACATTTTAGCAAGTCTGAATTAGCTGTTTGGATTTAAAGATAATTTTATCTGTGTCAGTTTCTCATTTTCTTTGGACCATAAATATTTAATATGCTGCAAGCTATTGTAAAGACTTAGGACATGGGCAAGGCTTTACCTCTCTTCTAACTTCCCATGGCATGCTATAGTTATGGGTTTTCTGCCTTCTTTGTTTATTACATTTAATTTTGTTTTGGTTTTGTTTTTTTTAATTTTTAGGTATGTTTTTTGTGTCATCCTCATCATCATCCCCTTACTTCAAGTGATAGTGTAATAGAACAAATAACCTGTAGCTTGTTGAAATACCTACTGTAGTTTATTTCTGGGCTTGTAGAGAACAGAATTCAGTGGATTGAGTAAGTTTTCCTAATCCTTTGTTCCTAACTTGATAGTAAACTTAATTCATCGAGGGGGAATGGCATAAAGGTGGCCCCAAAACTTTTGTGGAGATCCAGGGCTGTACAAAGAAAATATGTGTAACTTGGAGGTGCAAGAATCATGGTAGGAAGGCAACAGCTATGTAACTGTTTTGCAGTGACTCATATTACAGATAGGAAATAATTTTGGGTGCTCATGAATGTTCCACTGAACCCAAATGTTTATGCTCATCTCGTATAAGCCCCTGTTGTTTTTTTTTTTTTTAATGGAAATAATACTTTATTACTGTTGGCTTTTAAACCTACAGAAGTCATTTACTACAGCTGCTTTCTGTGGGAGATTTAGTAACATATTTATTTTAATAGGAATTACAGATGAACACTGTAGAACAAATATAACTTTAGGATTTTATCCAACAACAGCTAACTGTCTGCAGTGATGGCCAATTAGATCAACATTCCTTTATTTAAATTACCCTATTTCAATACCTTCCTGTCCAGTAATGAAGGCATATCTTCAATCCTGTCTGTGCTTTATAAGGGGATTTGAAAACAGTGGGACTGGAAGAAAACTCTGTATATCTTGGCTGAAAAAATTGATGTTCCTAGTCTCTTTACCCAGAGTCAAAATTTTAAGCTTGTTGGTTTTGTAAATTCACACTGGTTTGTGCTGGACTTTTGTTTCTGGAGACCTTGGGATGTGTTTTTCCCACTGGTTCCATGCTGGCAGCTTTGGCAGGCACTGAAAATATATGGGTGAAGGAAAAGCATTCAAGTGAAGTGGAATAGGTAGGCAGCTGTTAACGTTATCAAATTGAAATATCCTGAGTACAGTGCAGCTCTGAAGATTGAAATCTCACTGTGTTATATGAGCTTAGAATTCAGCTGTCAGTTTAGTGGCCATCGTTACCATTAGATGTTATTGATTTGGTGAAATCATGGAAATGAAGAACTCTGAAGGATGATGGGTGGGTCACCCTGCCCAGTCACAAGCACCTGGTGGTGTTGGAAGCGAAGATATTATTCTTTTTAACATACTGTATGTTCTGTTCTCCAAATGTTACTTGATACTTCTTAATTCCTTGAAGCTTTTTGGCCATTCATCATCCCGAATTG